AGAACGTTGCGATCTACTTTACTATCAATGAAACTACGGATCCTTCTTAACAAAAGTTAGATATTAAGGGGGAGCCTGGTGTAAACGGGCTAAAAACGAATGAATCTTTGGGAATTTCGTGCGATGAAATTATTAAACCAATCACTTTGAAACTTTAAGAATACTTTATTGTACAATTAAACTGAGTAGGAAAATGTTTATTTTCACGACAACTCCATAAATATTATAGTTATGAGAACTTTTGTGCAGTCCGTGAGTAAAAAAGGTGCTTCACGCCGGCGTGTGCAACTAAAAGAACATTTAACATGAGCCAGCCTTCCGTGTACATATTCTTTAAAATCTTCTTCCGAATATAAACTTGGATTTATAATTCTATTGTTTCAATAAATCATATTTTTTAGCATTTTTTTTGGAAAAAAGTTGCCTTTTGTTAAAAATATATTTTTTTGCATTTTTTAGCTTCAAAATAGGTTCATGTTGTGAAGAAGACTTTAAAGAATATGTACACGGAAGGCTGGCTCATGTTGAATGTTCTTTTAGTTACATGCCCCGGCGTGAAGCACCTTTTTTACTCACGGACTGCACAAAAGTCCTTATAACTACAATATTTATAGAGTTGTCGTGAAAATAAACATTTTCCTACTCAGTTTAATTATACAATAAAGCATTCTAAACGTTTCAAAGGGATTGATTTAATATTTTCTTTACAATAAATTCCCCAAAATTCGTTCACTTTAATACGTTTACACCAAGCTCCCCCTTAACTGGCGACAGCATTTGATGCACTTGTAAAGTGAGCATTACACCGGTGCAATACTGGCAGTTAAAGGGTTAACGAACTAATAGAATCTCATTTCTTGAATGTTGAAATCCGTTTTCTCGAGCTTCTGAAAAGTTGTCTGCCTGGAACCGAAATACCGCAAGAAAAACATATATCCAACCATATTCACATGTTTTAAGATACGCAATTCACTTTATCCCAATCGTACGACGAATGCCAGCCGTCCCTCCATCATTCTTATTCCCGCGAGCCTAATAGAATAAATGTAATGAGCAATTAGCGTTTCGCTGCATATATTCATGCAGACGAAGGATGAAACGGAGCTCCTTGAAATTTTTAAAGAGAAACGGCGACCAGCCCCTTAATGCGAACGGTGCATTTGCACGGCAAATAAACGGTTAAATTATACATTGTTAAACAACAGACAGCGTGAAATGGCGTCGGTCTATTTTTGAAGGTTCCCTGGGACGAAGGAGGACGCTTTTGAATAAAACATGTCCACCGGCGGGCATGTCCTAGGGTCCATTCTTCCGGTTTTCCTGCCCTCTTACGTCTTCTTCTGCCGTCGCCGCTGAGCTTCTCCCCTCTTTTTGCTTCTTTTTCATCCCCCCACGCTTTTGTCCACGGCGAATAACCACTTATTCATGGAACGACGGACCTGGTGCTCCTCTAGCAATTAATGTTACGCCGCCATCCCACGTCGACGTTTTGCAATGATCACAGTTTAAACGGCCATTTAACCCTCGCAGAGCAGTGCCTGGATCCATATGGAACCAAGTTTTTAAAAGTTCCATCTAACTTATGAATCAATAAATCGTATTTAAGCTAGGAGTTGTTCATAGTAAGTCATATGAAAATGCAGGTCTTCTTGAATGATTGTTTGCGAAAATTATGTTTAAAAGGTAGGAAGTATTAGGGGTCCAAACGAACCCAAGCACCGCTTCTGTACGAAAATTAAGAATGTTCGCCTTCCGCGGGTTTAATTGATTCGCCATGCAATCGTATCCGCAGAATTTACGGGGGGGAATTCCTTTCACCGTTCGTCAGCAGTGAGGACGATTAAAAGTGTGTTCGATGCGGTATGAAATCGAGAATCGGCTAAGAGGATTCGCACGCCGATGGTACTTTCGGAATGTTTTAGCATCATGAAACGAACCGCCACCGAAGTGCCTTCTGTGTTCTTTGGCTCTCCATTTCTGGTCGAGTTTGTCCGGAATATTTTATCTTCTTTCGCTAAAGGGTGCTCCAAGCTGATTAAAGACGGTTTTGTTTTTCGTCTGTTCGATGATACTTATTCCTCGGTTACCGTTGCAACAGCTCGCGGACTCACGAATACAGAACGTGTGAAGCGTTTGTAAGAGTTCGGAATATTTGCTTCCAGATAGAACGCATATTTACGAAGCTTTACAAGGATGGAACTCTCGGTATCCCCGGCTACGAATATTCGGAATGCATTTACATTCGTATAGAATCCTGTAGACGATCTTTTGCATTCTTCTTTGCATTCCTTCTGGTAGAAATTATTGTTTTCGGCTATATTTTGCTTTAATGTGGAATCTGTCGGAATGCGTAATTTACAAATATGTACATGGACAAAATATATACGTGTAGAGGTAGTAAATTTTGAAGATGGACGCAGAACGTTTATTTCCAGAGAAAACTCCGTTTTCTGGTCTGTTACTTTTCCACTGGTGTCCCCAAAATCGTGGTATAACCGGCCGGGTGGTGATTTTACATACCAAAATAAATCGAAAATAAAGTTTTTTTCTTCATTCTCGTATTAATCATATGTATATATCTAGGGCACTGTTAAAGCTTTTTACCTTTTATCAGCCATTCCTATATCATGCAACAACCCTCCTGTGACTTCATATTCCACTTCTAATGTGGTCTTTTTTATTTTCCAAGCAATTCCAACTTCTTTTGACGCGCTTGTGTTACGATAGTCGACTTCCGCGATGCGCTCTCAATCTCTCTTGGTGACAAATTTGTGAGCGTTACTACTGATAGCAATGCCCAATAAGTCCATACTTGGTAATAAAGGTATGCATCTTTCATTAAACACGTATGCTGAAACCTAGGCCGACATTTTAAGAACCTTTCTTCGACAAAAAATGTATTTCGGAGCGAGCTGCCTTCGCTTATTGAAAGTATCGTTATAATTGAGTATTTGTCTGTATGCAACGTCTTAAAAATTCATCAGAGGTTAAGCTTTTATATACTGGGTTTACGATTTTTTATACTTCTAGATCTAAACTTTCGAAATTAGTTTTCCGCTACATACGATTGACGTGTTTAGATCATTTGCATACTTGCAGAATCGATAGGTATTCCTGCGAATTTTGGACTAAAACTTTGAAATAGGATTCCTGAGACGTTATATGATGAAAATTCATAATAAAAAAAATCTATTTTTCCAACAATTTTGACCGGAGGGCACCCTTAAAATGAATAGGATTTGGCTACCTCGTTTGTTCATTGCATTCCGTTTCCACTTACTTCCACGATGAATAGATACACCCATTTCAGAATAATTTTCAATTCTCATTTTTTCGAAAATAAAACCTCAAACGAAAGAAGTTTATACTTTATATGTCGAGTTATACAGGGAACACCATGTATGCTAAAAGAACAGACTTCATTTTAGAAGTATTTATTTTACTTGCTACTCGATACAGCCCCTCATGAACTAAATGAATCTCTGTTTAATTTCTGTTTTTGAAAAGTCTACAGCCTAATTATAATAAATGGAATATATGAAATCTTTGCCATCCAAGCTTGAGACTGTTATTTCCAGTTAGTACAGCGACAAGCGGGCAAACTTTTTGGTCAACAAAATAACATTCCGGTTTTATCGGCCTGTAAACAGCGTGTTTTTCTTAAAGTCCCCATTTGAACGTTGCAGCTGATTACATAGCCTCTGGAGTTACTTTTTCACCTGTTTGCAACGATTCGTATTAGAGTTTCTGTCGCTGGCCCCAGCGGACACACAGAGGCACCTCTTTGTTGTGAAATTTTCGTTGCAAAGGCAATGTCGTTGTTCCACCAGGATCCAATCACAATTTTTTCGTTTAGGATTTCTGTAACGAACAATTTTGTTTCCCTTTACCAGCCCCCACGAGAAATGATTGTTGTTGGCCAGCTAACAATGTAACACACACGTTTAGTCGCTGTTCCATTTGGAAACTTGGTAATTGGTCTACGTTTTATACTTCTGGATATTCTACATTCCGTGAACACAAATACTGTTTATTTTATACAAAAATATCTATAGTATTAAGTTTAGCCCGAACAAATACACTTTTTGGAACAATTGAAAGAACAATTTGGAACAATTACAGCTGGTGTATTCACCAAAGTGGTGTGTTGTAATTCTAGTATTGTGCAAAAAGCATGTCAATTTATCACACTTATGACATTTCTTAGGCTTGCTCGGCTCCAGAGGATTGCACACAGAACCGATCCCCTAATTGCTTTGACCAGTGTACATAGGGTAGTTCTTGTAACTAAGCCACGTTATGGCTCTGTTCCAAGTGAAGTTCATTTTGAACTTCATTTTGAACTTCATTCGTTGAAGAATTGCATTTAGATCGACACAGGAGTCTTTTACTAATATCTTACAAAGGCTGATTTTAAGTATCCAGGAACAAATCGTAAGGACAAGTACAAAAGTTTCTTTTTCCATTTGTTCGTCTCGCTTGTATGCGACACATCTGTAACAAAAAATCTACCAATTAGCCATAAGGGACACACCTACAGTTTTCTTAAAATTTAGCTAATAGAGAAAGAGACTCCCTTCCCCGCAGTTTTTCTCATCATCACATTCAGCTAGAACCGACAGTCGAAATTGAACCATAGAACAGTAAGAGTTCTGTAAGTAGATTCACATCATTTTTGTTATTTCTGTTCTAACTTTTTTTATTTTGTAATAAACCGTTGTTTGTTGTCACCAAGTATTTTTTCTATCAACCTAATTACACAAAGTTAATTGAACGTGTGAGGTCGCGAAGAATTAAGGCAATCGCGCTGAGGACTTCGCGATGCAACAATAATGTTTTTCCTGATTAGGTCATGTATTCAAGGTTATTGCATGAATATCTTATAAAAAATTCAACCATTCATATAAATCGCATTATCATCGAGCAATTAGATACTACCGTGTAATCGATAATATTCATCTGATGATTTAATCGCGTGCTATTTTTTTTTGCTTTTTCAGGTTCCGACAGCAAGGTGTCAGATGTTGATGGACAGCCGTACACGACGTTGTTGTACAGCAATGGACCTGGGTACACGCAGCCGAGGAATATTTTGCGCGAGGCCGGGAAGGATTCCATTCAGGTAAAAAGGCCAACTCATTTCCTCGCCGGTGAGGATTTCACGTCACTGTTTATTGGATCGGAAAATGATCGAGCAGAAATATCCGGGGCACATTTAAAAATCCATCACGTTTTGTCGAGGGTCCATTGCGAAATATTCGATGAACCTCTTCAGACCTCATATATTCACTGGGTCTCTTTTTACCCTGCTACCATCTCGCTCCCAAGATCGCATATTTTAAAGTTCTGCTTGCGAACCCTCTGACTCGCGGTATTCTATTCAAATTGCAAGACACGTTTCATGGAATAATTTCCAGGAGACGTAATCGTTATTTGAATAAAATTACTCGCGAGTGTTTATTCAAACATTAGATTTTATACGAGTGAGTTTCATCTCTCTGTTTAAGTTTGTTCTCGTCGAACCTAATTGGCAATTAACTTCCATCTACTACGGACTCTATATTATTACTACTACTATGGATTATGTCTACACCCTTGAACAGAAATAGGTTTGGAAACCGGTAGATTATTCAAATACTTTGTTATTACTTTTGGTGTTTACGACACTATTAGACGACGTCTTTTTGAAGAAGTTTCTTCATTTTGTTATTAGAATTGGCAAGAGGTGAAGACAAAAAAGAATAAATAACTAATATTAAGTTATTCACAGGACACGATAAACTATAACAAGTGACAAGTTAGTTATCTATAATTATTAATCTTAGACCCCATTTGGTATAATACTTCATACGCAGAATTTGATGCTTTATTAGGATATGAGAAGAGTTATTATGTATCCAATTTAAAAAGCTGAAGGTGACCTGATATGTCCCCCTGGAAACCATGTAACTTTGGTTTGAAACATTGTTTCCTACAGGAAATAATTTACGAGTTATTTTAAATTGTCATATTACGAGATTCACTCTGTGTATTTCCTATTAACATATTTCCTATGTATAGAGTGTCCCATTTAATGGGAGTACCATTAGTATTTCACTTGTTTTTGATTTGCAGAAAATTTATTTTAATAAATGCTCCCAGTGACGTCCATTAACTGTGATACATTTTTGCACTAATTCTTCTACCGTATTTATTTTATTATTTAAATCTGCTCTTATACATTTGTGATTTTTCGTACTTAATGTCACATGAACGTTACACTATTATAGGTTATTGAATTGGTCTTGATTTCAACTATTACGCCACGCTGATCAAAATATGTAGTCCCGTTGAACAAAACACTGATCACCTTGACATTTCGAAAAATATAACCTTGAGGAAAATTTTTGCTTATCACAGTATTTGCTCCTTCTAATTAACCCCTCAACGCTAGCATACGTAAGAGGTACAGACCCTGCGTTCTTTATACACCGCCGACAGACGTAAGGGATACCGACTCTGTTTTCTTCACATGTCGCCGATGCATGTTACCTATCCACGGGCTGCTAGGACCGGCGATACGATAAGACGGATTGTATATATTATTGATTGGTATATACAATACAATCATATATCGTATCATAATGAAACGCCTATGTTTTGTTTATAACAGCAAAAGCAGTCTTCAAAAGTCTTGTTACTAAATTTTTCGTGATTACTTTCCACAAATTATTATTTACAATTTACACTAATCTATTCCTTTTTCGACATAGTGGATATCACAAATAAAATACATATAAAAAAACTTTTTAAGTTACTCGGTTATAGTAAAATGCACTAAAAAGTGAATAAGACATATAAAAACATGTACCAAAAAATAAAAAACAATTTTAGTAGCAATCACAGCAAACGTACTTGGTCATATGTGACTAATAATAAAATCCTGGGGCGTCCATAATATATTCCCTAGGAATACAATTCTTTTATGAGCCCTCCATGATTTTATTGTTAGTCACATATGACCAAGACTGTTGTGATGACTAAAAAAATTATTTTTTATTCCCTAGTGCATTTTGTATATTTTATTGCATTTTTTTACGTGTGCATATTTTATTTCGTATTTGTATACGAGTTAACATCATGAAAACACATTAATAAACAATCGTATGAAAATATAAAACTGTAGCAATAATTTTCATCTGTTAGAAAGATTCCTCCTGCGTATCCTAACCAGTACAACAAGAATATAGTTTCTCTTACGCTGTGTCACTGCTCGTAAATACTACCGGACACGACAATTTACTCTTAGTTCCGCGGCCGACAGTGTTGAGGAGTTAAATAATATTTTCCCTTCACATTTTTTTGTGTCTTAAAAAACAAGTGACATATTGAAGGTGCTCACATTAGGCGGGGCCCCCTGTATACAAAAGGTAAAGGCTTCTATACCGTTCAATGTGTCCTGACCAAAATTTAACACGAATAGTCTTCTACACCCTCGAAAAAATACTTGGGGGTCACCACACCTTCCATTCACCCCTAAAGCACATCCTCTCGACCCTTTCATCTATACGTATTTGGGGAAGCTGATTACTACCCCGAAGTCAGAATTACAAAATTCAAATTCTGGATGCAATACGGCAACTATTTTTGGCTAAATTCAAAATCTTTTGTTCAATTTACACGCAAACCTAGGCGGGAAGGGTTCTTGGGTGGCTGATTACAATTTTGAGGTCGGAATTACAAAATGTAAAATAGAAGGTACAGTACGGAATCTGAAAATATTAATTTTTAGAAATTCAGATAATTTTCTTAAAGGAATGGGTATAGAGAAATAGATCAGAAACACTGAAAAAATTAGGAAAAAAGGTGATACGCATACGTACCACTGCCCCTGAAAGAGTTAAACTCGAGCAACTCCAGGCACACGCAGCTAGTAGGTAATGAATAACAGTCGCTCGATTGAGAAAACAGACGATTATTTAGATGACGTCTAATGTTATCGTTCTTCATACCTTGCGAGTTTGAAATTTGCAATTCGCCATCACTATTCCACTTTGGTCCACGTTAGGTGGATCAATGTCCTCGCGACTAGTCCCCGGCCGTGTATCGTCATTACCGTCTTTCTTTCAGCAGCCATTTTCCATTCCGCACCAGTTTCCTTTATTCCGCGATATTAAACGCGTTGCTGGGACCCGAAAGGTCTCTCTGGTTGGTGGCATTCAATTCTTCGAAGACGCCGTTCGCGCCGACGACTCGTTACAGGGAACGGCAGAAAGCGGCGAAGCGGAAAAGTATTAAAATCGCGAGGAACGTGCGAGCAATTATCATTGATACGCTCTCCGCTGGTGCTCGTTAATGCTTGCCTCGAGCCTGGTCGAGTTTCTTCGTTGAGGACCACCCCCTCCCTGGTGCGGTGGTTCCTTTGAGCTGTGCATTGATCGAATACGTCTAGAAAAAAGGAACGCAGCCTCGTTGAGTGGTTGAAAATGAGGTTCTAGCTGAGCCAAAACAAAAAATAAAATATTCCTTTATGTTATTATTTTCTACCAAAAATATTCGAACATACAGTAGTGGACAAATGTTCTTGGACAAGAACCTTTTGCTGAATTCTTTGAATTAGTGATACCAGTCATGTTACGTATATTAATCTTTGTGTCGGCAACCAGATACCGGGGAACCCAAGTACCCATTTCTAAACTTCGTTTCACAATTTTTTATGTTATTGTCTAAAACAGCACCTGGTATATTACGGGAATGAAAGTAAAATTATCTATGTTTATCTAATCTGTCAGCATAGGGATATTCCGATTGCTCAATAAGCATAAATATTTTGGTTGTCCACACAAGGGTTAAGGGGTTGGGCTATCTTGGATGAGTCAAAATCATAGTTATCTTCGACAATATTTTTTTAGTATAATATGGATATAATCAGTTAATATTATCGAGAATACCTATATTTTTACTTACGGATATAACCTTGTAAAAAAATGATCGTAAATAACTAGAAATAACGTTAAAAGTAATAAATAAATACTTTTAAAATATATACACATACAGGAGAAAGTAATTACAAAAATAATTTTTCTTAACGTTTTGAACCACTGTGCGTGGGGCCACGCCATTCTTTGCGTTAATTAATATGGAAACGGTCCTTACTTTGCGCGCAGCTAACGCTGAACTCTTCCCACTTTTTAGGCCAACTTCTGTGAACTGCGACACGGTTTGGGTAAATAAATGGTAACCTAGTTTCAGAATAAAATTCGAATAAAATCCCTTTTGTTTGAGGACCGACGTAACGGAAAAGAAAAGATCGAGAACGAGGAACAAGAACACAGACGCGTGGCCCGATTAAAGTACTGCGTACACTTACAGAGACATGCATTCAGAGGCGACTGACATTAATATAAAAATTCTACCGGAATAAATGTGTCCCTTTTAAATTGCAGATTATGAACGGTTATGATTTGTTTTGAATGGATTTTTTTAATGGAAATAAGATCTATTTGAATCGATACACTCATGTCAAAGCTTCCTGATCCCATGTTTAACTATTTCAAAATGGCTGAAATGATTCATGCTGGATAATAACATTTATAATCCAAAGACCCAATAGTTTATAAATTAAAACAGATAGTATGACACAGACAAATGAAAGAATAATTGAGGTAAAAGAAGAAAGAAATTAATGTTTACTGAAAGAAATAGACGAACATAAATAACGAGTTAACTCGTCTTCCCCAGTTAATAGGATAAAGTAACACTGTCTCGTGATTAGATTATTTTTCATGGTACGTTTGATGCATACAAAGTTATTGTTAAAAGAAACTTAACAGTAATTGCGAGTTTATTTCATTCATGTTAAATTACGTTAAGCGTGTTGTTGACACGCCACTGACTATAAATATCTTTCAATTAACTGTTCCGCCATGAGTAGCTTGTTTAAACGTATCGTGGCTTTCCACGGAGTAGTGTTCATTGTGGTAGTTCTTTCCTTTTTTTCAACCACCACAGTTGCGTTTAACTTTGTGTTTTCATGCGGTGAAATCGTGGAACGATAACGGTGATGATAAGCAATAATCGTTGCGTCCTCGTAGCTTCGCTCGCCGTTGGAAACCGTGGTAGCACGCTGCTCTGGAATTTGTA